GGTGAAGTACTGGTGGGCGCGGATGTGAGAGGCCCAGCCGCCGTGGGCGGTGGAGCCGTCTTCGTAGTTGGCGTTGTAAGTGTCTAGGAGTCTTTGTTAGTGTTGTGCTCGAAAGGTTTAGTAAAAGGGGGAGGAGGGTGAACACATACCAACCATGTGAGGGCAGTACTGCTCGTTCTTGCTCTTGCAGACATCGCACTTGAGGCAGGACCACACCTGGGCACCAACGCCGACGCGATCGCCCTGCTTGATCTCGGTCACGTTCTTGCCGACCTTGATGGCCTTGCCGACCACCTCGTGGCCGACACAGAGAGGACCCTCGAAGTCACCCCAGCCGCCGGTTACGGTGTGAATGTCGGACCCGCACACGCCGCAGCACTCGATCTGGACGTCGATGTCGTCATCGCCAAAAGGCTTGGGCTTGAGCTCGTGGCGGTGGAACTGGTTCCAGGTCTTGGGCGAGTCAACGACGAAGCCCTCGAAAGTCTCTGGGTAGCCCATTTTGATATGTTGATTGGTGGTGTGATAAGGGTGGGTTTCGTGTGGGTGATAAGACAATTGCTGTTATTAAGGTCTGGTAGTGCCTGGATTCAAGGAGGTCCTTTGGCGTCCAGAGATGATTGTTATTATGATAATGAAAGATGAAAATTGAAAATGTAGTGATTCTCGCGACTGAAAACGATGGACAGAAATGTATTTATATCTGCTGGTGGCCTGCAACGGCTTTGCATATGATGCTGCTTGTTGTGATGTCCCTAACAGCAAACAAGTTGGAGTTGGCTGTTAGCGCGTGGAAATGACGTCTTTGACTTGACGACCGACGGTCTTGAACTGGAGCGACTTACAAAGCATAGTGTACACTGCCAGAATTGGATTTGTAAGACTACTCTATTGGGAAAGCCTTCACGAAGAGGCTCCATTCCATCGAGATGAATATGATCAGATCGGTTTGACGGCGGCGATCCGCGGCGGGTAGTCTCGGTAGTGTTGATTCAGGAAAGGGGGTGTTGGTTGTGTCACACACACTTCAGGGGTGTTATCGTGAAGCTGGGCTTGCTTGGCAAGTACACAACCCTAACCCATATCTTACGTATCATAGTGTACCGTGTACGCAGTACACTAGTGTAGAGTAGGGGTCTCTGGGCGCCAAGTTTTCTCTGCCCCCTAGTCTACTCACCCATGTCAACAATCCACCATGTCATAGTGTAATCACATTCAAAGAGATGTCATGATCAAGTTGATGATGTCATCGAGAGGCTCTCTTATTACCTATGCTCTCCTGAATAAGTAGAATGGAACTGATGCGCTATCAAATTCCAACCCAGCCACCGGATAGACTCGGGGCTTCACACCAGAACCAAGTCTAAACTGCCTTCAAACAACGTAGTGTAATACTTTTGGCAGACTTCCAGGTAAAGAAATCCCGATGCTCCCTTCCAAGCATCCAAGCATCATTTGTATACTTGTACAACCCCGTTCCATTTCACGGGGATCTTCTTGTTACTCCCTGTCTCTTGAGCCCTCCCTTGTTAAAGAACCAAAAGTGTTATGTTTCCTCAAGTCAGTCGATCGGCTGCAGGTCCTATGTTAACTGCTTCAGAACGCTGATTATGGGCGCTATGCTCAGGGCTGCTTGTTCCCAAAGTTGTTCATCAATCCATGCGTGTATCTTGTGTTCCGTGCCTTATTTCTGCACACGGCCATAACCCTTTCAGGGTGTTGCGTCGCTTGTATCCATATCTTGTAAATCTCTTTCCTTCAATCTGGCGAACCCTGGCGTCAGCAAGATCGGTTATTCGCTTACTCAATGCTGAGCCGTGTGATCCCATCATTGGTGTCAACCATGCCTTGGAGCCCGACCCTTTTGCCTGTGCTGAAACTGGGTCTTCCATGGACTGGCGTAGTAGCTCCTCCCACCACCATGGTCCCATTTTGGAGATTTTCGTGTTGTTGCCTAACCCCATCCCCATTGACACTACCCGGTCGTGATGAACTCGGGCCCCAGGGTGCTAGGTCCCTCTGCATTGGGCTCTGCAAGATCGGTGAGCCCATTCCGGGGCTGACGGCTCGTCGTTTGAAACTCATCGGGTCGAGGTCGTCATCTCGGCGTCGCTTGTTGTTGATTCGGCGCGTAATTTCGGCTGCCGTGGGAACACCATTCGCGGCGCCCGGAAAGCTTGTGCTGGCTAATGTAATAGATGAAGATGATGAATTTGTTGGCGGATTTCCGGATGGCGGTAGAACAAAAGGCGTGGGGCCTTGCCTCAGTTGGCTCTCGGATCTCGAAGACGGCGAGTCCATGCTCATATCATCCATGCTCATGGCTGATGATGAGCCCCTCGGCAGTCCAAAATTTGGCGGTGTTCGCATCCCGTTGCTGCTTGCCCCACTCTCCGAAAACGTGTCCCAAAACATCTTGCCCTTAGAGTTCTTCAGGACCTGCTGTTTGAAGCTACTGCTGCCAGGTATGCCACCGGGAATACCACCAGGCGTTGTATTGCCATTACCACTGCTGCTTCCATTCGAGTCCATCATCATTGCATCGACATCGTCCATACTGTCATGGGTTGGCATCAGGTTCGGACTGGTTAAAGCGGAGATTGGTAACCTGGGTTCTAGATCCATGTCACTCTCCCGTACTTGTCGGACAACTTCGGCTTCACGCTTGACTTCGGCATCGATAGGTGCGCTCTCCTCGAGAAGGGCAGCGCGGATGCGGGCAAAACCCTTGGTCTTGGGCTAGGTATTTACGGTTAGTCCATGTCAATAGCGAGCAAGAAAGGTAGTGAGAATAGTGCCACGTACCAGCAAGTTTCCCCTATGACGGGTCACAGTCCGCCGGATGACTCCTGGTCGGGACGGGCTGTCGACCGCTTCAAGCTGCCTGCTAGGATCGTCGCTCTCACTGCCGGAGATGTGTAGCTGATTGGCCGCCCAGCTGATGCTCTCCCTCCTCGGCTGCGGGCCGTCCAAGCCTTGTGGCGGCGACATGGACATGGCTGCCCCCATGGGCGTGGTTGGATGGAAGCCCAAACCCAGTGGTGTCTTGTGTTTCCGGCTCTTTGGCTGCTTCCGGCGCTGACGTTGCTGGAAACTTAGTAGATTGTTGACTGCTGGCGAGCTGCCACCAGGCATCCATGGGTGCTGCCCGCCCATGGCCATCTTGTTTGCTGAGGGCGTGGTAACAATGGGCTCCTCCATGTCCTCGTCCATAAGGTCGTCGTCGTCCGAGCTAGACGAGGTGTCGGTGAGTAGGGCATGGGGAGCCTGACTGCCCAGGGAGCTCGAGACATGCGCACGCTCGTGGCCGCGGTTGTTGGCCATGAGGGACCACAGCGAGCTTGACGTCTGCTCCATGGCGGTGCCTTGGTCGCCGGGCCAGCGACCAGGACCGGCGGGGATGTTCATGGCCCTCGACCCAATGGTGGGAGAAGAGCTGGGCGAGGCCTGGTCGACGACGGTGGAATGGTGAAGGGTGGTGGCTGCACGGCTAAAGTCGAGGCCGCGTGAGCGACGGGGCAGGATGTTTGGCGAGGGCGAGGCGTAGATGTGAGAATGGTCAAGCTTTGGTGAGAGCGGGGCGGGGGCGGCGGGTTTGACGTAGGCGGAGGGGGTGGAGGCGGAGGCGGGCGCTCCCGCAGGGTGGGATGGGGGTGGTTGATGGGACTGCAACTGGGACTGGGAATGGGCTTGTGAAAGCGCCAACGGTGGAGTGGTGGCATTCAGGTTGTTGATATCCACGTGCGGCTGTTGGAGACGTGCATAACCTGAAAGGAGTGGTGCATCACCTTCACCACCAAGGACAAGCTGGGGTAGTTGCAGCGCTAGGCCTCTGACTGCGAACCCCGCGCGGACGGGAGTTGATGGTTGTTGCACAGAGAAAGCGTTGCCGTCTGCCCCTCGTTCTTTATCCCGGATGGCAATATCATCCTGGGACTTTCGTCGCGGATCGCAGAAGATGTGCGGTGCTGGCGAGAGCTTTGGTGTTTCCTTTGCGCCGCCGTCCGAAAGGGATCTTGTTTTGGTCAAGAAACCAGCTCCAGCTCCAAGGCCCCCGCTTTTGTTGTTGTTGGTGTTGGTCGTACTACTTGTCGCTGCCGTGTCCGCCTCCTCTTTGCTGCTGTTGTCGTCAATCACCGCCACATCGTCCATGAACCTGTCCACGTCCGCCATTCTCAATTCTTCTTCCATTTGTCTGAGGCGTCGCGTGATTGGGGCGAAATTGGCTCGGTCCTTATAATGGGCGCGTATAAAAGTGGTGCAATAAGCCCAGACAGCTGGGTACGCGGCGCGTCTCGTGTCTCGCCTCTCGGCTCGGGGGGGCTATGCGGTCGAGGGATGCAGTGTTGAATCTTTGTTCGATGCCGTCGTATTTCGTAACTGAATAGGGGGTACGCAGTCGTCTAGAAAGCGCAGGGCGCCATCGGGAAGAATTCCCACGCGAACTCTCGTTTGGAACCTGGACGGAATAAGAAAAGTGAAGAGACAGAGCAACGTCGTTGAGGGGGTCGATGAGGTAGACGTCGTCTGGGGGACGTCCAAGTGCGGCTAACTCGACTGGTGTAGTTGCGGGTAGAGCTGGGGCTCCAGGCGCTGATACCACCCACTAGAAGTGGCCCTGGTCAGCGCCTTCTGCGCCCTACGGAGCCGCTTTCCGGGGCCCCCTTGCCCGGTCTGTGTTGGTCTTGGCCTAGCGTAAGGTACCTTTTGTCAAGACGGTATTTCTCGTTGCATTACACCCGAACCGGGCAACACCGTGAGGAAGGTTCCCCTCCTTTCCTTGCTCCACTTCAATTGCTTTGCAGAACATCACAGCAAGTCAAGGACCTAAGAGTTTGAGAAAGTTTCCATCTTGGATAGCCGGATAATATCTAGGCAATGTGAAATCCACACTCTCCAGCTCCCAGACTGGTTCCCGGACCACACTGTTCGGGAGATCGCCGTCCCATTTTGCGTCATTTCAAACAACGGAAACAAGCGAGGAAACATGTAAGCTGACAATGGAACCCCTCAGCATCAGACTGTGCGAACCAGACACGCCAACATTGTTCGAGAACTCGGCCGCTGTAGTGTACCTGGCTTCGGAATTGCACATGAACCCTGGAGTGTGGGGGCACAACGTTCAATTGACCCGAAATCCTGGCACCAACTGTCTCATTGTTACGCCCCATTGGCCGTTTGACTTGTGTCTTGTTGTTGGGATTATAGGATACGCTCTCTCGATGCCGGGAATTGTGTATGTGGAAGTGTCGGAGATTATTTGTGTAGAGGGGAAACGGGCAGTCACTTCACAAACTCTACAATTCCAACAGTACCTATTGGATGTAACGGAACCAACAAGCAAGGCCCGTGATAAATACCGACAGGCACGAATAACGGTAAAATACATCTAAGCTCTTCAAAATTTCACCACCGCGGTAAGATACCTCGACACCGCAAGCAACACCAGGCAACCAAAATACCTAAAACAAAACAACACCGTCTTTTATCGCGGAGAGAGCAAACAGGCCTCATCACGGCATTGAAAATGGCACCAAAAGAAACCAAACAAAAATCCATTACCAAGAAATCCCACCCAGGCGGAAAACCAAAGGGACCAAAACCCCCAAAGCCCCAACCGCGCAAACCACCACCACCACCACCACCATCAACAGCAACATCCCACATCCAGACACCAAGACTACAACCACCCCTCCCAACAACCTCCCCCTGCGGCACCCTCCCCCTAAACTGGCCTTCCAACCTCCCCTACCTCACCGCCCCTCTCTTCTCTCCCCTTCTTACCCCCTCCCACTACTCAGCCCTTCGCACTCGTCCACCAGCAGATTCCATCGAGCCGCTTGACGAGTTACCAGCCGATTATGTCGCAGGACCATGCAAAAAGGCAGTCATCTTGCCCATCACAGACAAGAGACATCCAGCCTGTGGCCAAGCAGGTCTGTTTGCCGCGAGGGACTTGAAGCCGGGAGAGTTGGTAGTGAGGTACCTGGGGGAGATTCATCCGGGAGGGGAGGAGTGGGGTGGGAGGTTGGTTTTTCCTCCCAGCGAAGAAGAGGAGGAGGAGAAGGAGGAGGAGGGTGATGAGGATGGAAAGACAGATGAAGTGAAACAAATGGCGGAGGGAGAAGAAGAAGAAGAAGAACAGTTCAAGTACCACTACAAACAATCCGACTACGACCTCTGGCTCGACCACGCCCTCGACCTCGCCATCGACGCCGCGCGGTGCGGCAACGAAGCCCGTTTCGTCAATGACTACCGCGGCGTTCCCAACCCTGCCTTTCCACCGGGATATAAACCCCAAAGCAAGAAAGAAGAACTTTTCATGAAGCGGCCGAATGCCGAGTTCAAGGTGGTCTGGGATCCGCGAAGGCAAGAAAGGACCATGGCGGTCTATGTCCTGCCGGCGGGAAAGAAGGCTGTGGGAAGGGCGAGGGAGGTAGGGGTTGCGAGGGGGAGGAGGTGGTGGTCAGTTATGGGAAGGGGTTTTGGGAGGGGAGGAGGAAGGCGGAGGAGGAGGAGGAGGAGGGGTATGAGGGTTAGATGTGTGTGTTGGGGGGAAATTGAGTTTGCAGTGAGAAACGAAATTTGAGTAAAACAAAAGATGGAGACATCAAAAGCTGTACCAGGGAAGCTGAGTTGATAGAATATGCAAAGCGGTCGTCGATGTCCAAGGTTGAGCATGTCGGGATGCTATCACCATGGCCGGTCCAGACACCTTGAACCCTAACCCTCTCACGACAATAGTGTACCTCTACTTGTAAGAAAGGGGTTCAGTCCCGTTCGTCGTCTTGGATGTCTGATCTGCCCCAGGGGCAGGCTCGGCAAGCTCCCAAGTGATCTACAACTGTGTAACGCAATCTGTCGGTAGGCTCGGGACAGATCTGTTTCTGATCCTAAGGCTGGTTTCGCTTCGGTTTGTTGTTGTACTAGAACGTTTTTTTGGGGGTGCATTTTTCTCTTTGCGTGTTGGTCAACTTGCAGACGAGGTCTAGATCATAGAGGGTCGCCATGCTGTGGTTTTGGTCCGTTCAGAACGAAACTACCCATTAGCTGACAACTGGTACATATTGGCATGGCTCCAAATCTCCATCACATTCGAGATGTCGAGCTCTTGTTAATACATCAAACTCAAACTTCTCGCCATCTGCAGGTTTTACGAAAACAATCAAAAAGTCGAGCCCCTTTTTATGAAGTGATATGAGGCCAAGGTTACATCCAATAGTTGGTTCCGATTGGTGCACGCTGCGGAGCGGCGTTTTGTGGAAACGGGGACAGAAAGGAACCACTGAGGTCCGGGCCGGTGGACTTGGGTGGAGTGAGGCCATCCAACACTGAGTTGTTCCTGCGTAGAGGCTCACCGCCAGCTGGACGACAGCTGTTGTTGTGACGTGAGTTATTTGACGGATGGGAATACGTAAAACGTTGGGGAAACGTTGAGAAGTGTACAGATAACATGGAGCAAACCTAGCAGGAATTGTGTTTTGTGTTCACGAGGACTTCGATTTCCCCGCCGTCGACTCCAATGCGAAGAGCTAAAGGTTCCGCGGAGTCCAAGCCCATGGAGGAAACTTGGATCATGTCTGTTGCCGTGTGATGCAAGATGGATGGGTCACAAGTTGAACTGGGCTATCGCGGGTCGAGATCAAGAGCGATGGTGTACTTTTCTGGGTCAGCAGGTCTACAGTAGATGGTTCGACTGACTCGGCTGCAACTATGTACAAGTCTATGGTCTAGACAGCACGGTCCCGTGGGCGATATGATGACCCGGAGAATCTGAGTGAACAGTTGAGTGGCCATGGCTGCCTGTCCTCGCCTTTACGTCCGACAGCTGTATATGGCAAGACGGACGGGGACCAGGTGCGATGTCCGCAGCGCATTGGTAAGGTCCAAGGATAGGGGATATAGTCATCCTTGAGGATGATCAATCAGAGTCGGGATGCTTGTGGCCAAGATGTCTTTCCGGTCGAAAACGGTCGGTGGGCCGTTGTCGCGCACCCTCAAACATGGGAATCCAGAACAAACCAGGGAGAACACCAGGCTTCACCATGCAAGACAGAGCTGATAAAGACTGGACCTCCTTTTCTAAAGCCTGTGATAATGGACGGCTGGCCAGAAGATGGAGGAGGGTAGGATGGTTCTAAGCGACCTGCCTATCATTCTGTATCGAATTAGAGCCGATTGGAGATCAAGAGCGATTTAATGCAAGGCGGTGATGGTGACCGTGATAAGATGCCCTGGATGCTGCATTGGCCGTTGAGTTAGTTTGGTGGTGGTGTGCACTCCCCGTCACTAGCCTGCAGTACCATAATGTACTACCTATCATGCCGGCAGAGAGGGTGTTCATGCGGTGTGGTGCACAAGGCGACTGACTGACTGCATGAAGATTGAGACTGGAGCTGAGTGGAAGGATGTGAAGATGGATCATGAGTGTCAAGTGAACATTAACAGTTGAAACTTGTCTTTTAATGTGAGACACTGAAGACGATGGGGTGCCCCTGCCCAAAGAAGAGGTGTCCTGCTTCTCCCGAATCATCCACCACGGCCCGCGCTTTGCCAACTTGGGCCATAGCGCGTCGAACCCCCCCAATGAGGGTCCGGTCCCCAGCAGGGGAGCTCCAGATCCCCCAATTCGCTGGTCTATCACGCATTGCTTCCCGACTTTTTGTCCCCTTTCGGTTTTCCAGCCCCTTTCTTTCCTCTTGTTCTTGTAAACAACAAGACACAACTTTCCTTCGAGAAGCAAAGGTTTTCCTTCTTTCCCCCCCCTTTGTACTCCTTTTTGTAATTATTTCTTCCTTCCCCTGGGCTGTCCTAAGTACCTAGCTTCAGGACCCTTCCATCCGATTTCTTCTGTTTCCCCTCGAGTCGGTCAAAGCGAGGTTATCATCCCGTCTCTGGATTCCAAGGAGGACGAGAAGAACAGACAAGAAAAAAAAAGGTAAGCGCCTCTAACCATATTTCTGCTGCCAGCTGCCAGAGGCTTTCTGGCATTGGCTTTGCGCTTTCGCCCCCCGCGTCCGTGAAGTTGGGACTTGTTTCACCGGTTGTAGTCGTGTACTTGCCCGCCGGAAAGAGGGGCGGCGCTTGAGCTTGTTGACCGCAAACTGAAGAGCTCCCGTTGTGCTTAAATACACACTGCGGGGCCATCATAAAACTCATGTTGGATAGCATCAAGTTGCTGACCTGTTGGAACACCACACAGCAAGTCAGGGTATCCCGTTGATCTTACGCACTCGACTTACACCCGACTCCCCGCCGTCCTACCATCAACAGTCAGCCCAACATGTCGGAAGCCGACAACACCATTGAGGTGGCTGAGCAGGTCGATGCTCCCACTCCCACTCAGTCAGAGCCCGCCCAGTTGGAGGCCGAGCAGCCAGTGAGTGCGCCGTCACCGCCGCCGGGCGAGGAGCCATCTACCAACGGCACCGCGGATGCGGATGAGGATGCCAACGCCAACGCCGATGCCGATGCCGAGGCCGAGGCCGATGCGGGCGCGAAGCCGACGGCAGCATCCCCCAAGACCGCAAGCCCCAAGTCCCCTACCACGGCTGCGAAGCGTACCACGACAGGCACAACAGGCACAACAGCGACCGCCCGTCGCTCAGCAACTGGTGCTGCCTCCACTGCTACGAAGCCCACCGCCTCTTCTGCCACTCGCACCAGCACCACCACTGGTACCGCGACCAGCAAGACCACCACTCGTCCGGCCAGCATCTCTAGCGCCCCCAAGCGCCCCACGACCGCTGCCTCCACCACGACGGCTTCTCACCGCACCCGACCATCCTCTTCCGAGATTGACAGCAAGTCCACGACCGCTTCCCGTCGTACATCGGCTGCGCCCAGCAGCACTGGTGCCTCGCCTACTAAGCCATCCGCCAGAGTTTCCAGCACCACCTCGAGCACCACCGCCGCTGCTCGCAAGCCAGCCTCCAGCAGCACCGTGTCCCCCAGAACAAGCACCACTGGTGTATCGAGGACACCAACCACCACCAGCTCTGCTGCCAGCGCTGCTCGAAGCGCTTCCCGCGCATCAGTTACCACACCAACCTCCGATGCCGCAAGAAAGCGTCTTTCTCTAGCTAGCTCGACCGGTCCCACGCCGACGACTGCGAGACACACTTCCCGCCCTTCGTTGGCTTCGAGCGCCGGTGCTGCCGCTGCTGCCGCCGAATCGGCCAAGGAGATCGAGGCGCTCAAGAGCAAGCTGGAAGCCAGCGAGGCCGAAATCGCAGAGCTCAAGTCTCAGATCACCTCATCCCAGGAGAAGATCGAAGAGCTCAGCACAAAGGCCGCCGACTCCACCACCAGTTCCGATCAACAAGAGGCCGCTCAGGACGGCTCTAGCCAAGAGCATATCGATGCCCTCACCGACTTGAAGGCCGAGCATACTGCCGAGATTGAGACCCTCAACAAGCAGATTGCCGAATTGCAGGAGAAGCTTTCCTCTGCTGAGACTGAGCTTGTCGCCCATAAAAGCCAGCTCTCGGATGCTGCGGGATCCAAGGATGTTGCGGATTCGGAGGTCACCAACCTGAAGGAGTCCTTGGCAACTTTGGAAGCTGAATACCAGGCCAAGCTGGCTGAAGCTGAGGCCAATCTTGGCAAGGCCAAGGAGGAGCACAGTGCTGAGATTGAGGCCCTCAAGGCCACTCTTACTGAGCAGCATGAGCAAGCCTTGATCGAGCTCAAGACCAAGTTTGCTGAGCAGCAACAGGACGGTGATGCTGGAGCGGCCGAGGCCCACGAGAAGGCCATCCAGGAACTCAAGGCTAGCCATGAGGGCACCATTGCTGAGCTTCAGAAGAAGATTGACGACTTGTCCTCCGCGCAGGCTGCCAATGATGCCGACGCCACCAAGCTTGATGCCTTGGAGTCCCAGATTTCTGAGCTCAAGGCTAAACTCGAGGCTGCCGAGCAAACCGCTGAGTCCGCCAAGGCCGAGCTCGAATCCAAGCTGGCTTCCTTTGCTTCTCTGGAGGCCAAGGTCGCTGACATGGAGGCTGAACTGTCGGCTGCCACGGAGGAAGCAACCAAGGCTGCTGCCACTCACGCCGAGCTCCAGAAGCGTATCGACGAGCTTACCGAGGAGACCAAGTCTCAGGAGGCCATCATTGCCAAGCTCAAGGAGGAGACTGCTTCTGCAGAGGAACTCCATAAGCGCATTGAGCAGCTTACCGAAGAGAACACCACGTACGAGGCCACCCTTTCCAAGCTGAAGGAGGAGTCTTCGGCTGCCGAGGACCTTCAGAAGCGCATTCAGGAACTCGAGGCCGAGGCCAAGGACAAGGAGGCCACCATTGCCCAGTTGAAGGACAACACCACCGGTTCGGACGAGCTCCAGAAGCGCATCGATGAGCTTGGCAACGACCTCAAGGACAAGGAGGCTACCATCGCTCAGCTCAAGGAGGAGCTCGCCGCTGCCGAGGAACTCCAAAAGCGCATCGAAGAGCTCACCGAGGAAGCCAAGACCAAGGAAGCCACCATTGCCAAGCTGCAGGAGGAACACAAGGCCGCGGATGATCACCACCAGCAGCAGCTGCAGCAGGTCAGCAAGGACTACGAGGACGAAATCGAAAGCCTCAAGGGTGATGCTTTCTTCAAGCGCAAGTTCCAGGAGCTCGAAGTCAAGTATGCCGAGCTCACCAAGTCTCACGAGGACGCTACTGAGGAGCACGCCAAGGCTCTTGAATCCGCCAAGGCTGAGTACGAAGCTGCTGTCAAGGCCTTGGAGACTAAGGAGGCCGAGCATCAACAAGCCTTGGACGCCCTGAGGGCTAGCCTTGCCGAGGAACTCGAGAGTGCCAAGGCCGCCGCCAGACAGCAAGCTGAAGAAGCCAGCCTCGAGCAGCTTGAGGCCCTCAAGGTCAGCCATGCTAGCCAGATCGATATCCTCAAGGGTGAGAGCGCGGCTGCTCTGGCCAAGGAACTCGAGGCACTGCAGGCCAGCCATGCCGAAGAGCTTGCCGCTGCTCAAAAGTCCGTCGATGGCAGCAATGCTTCCCAGCTGGAAGAGATCAAGAAGGAGCTCGAGGCCAAGCACTCCGAGGAGATCCAGAAGTTGATGGCTGATCTTGAGGATGCCAACAAGATCAAGCTCGAGCTCGACGAGTTGAAGAAGAAGCATTCCGAAGAGCTTGAGCAGCTCAAGGCTGAACTTGAGAGTGGCGACAGCCTCAAGAAACAGCTTGAGGAGCTCGAGGCTAAGCATGTCGAGGAGGTTCAGAAGCTGACGGCGGAACTTGAGAACGGGAGCCATCTCAAGGAGGACCTCGAGGAGCTGAAGGCCGTTCACGCCCAAGAGGTACAGAAGCTGATGACCGAGCTCGAAAACGCACACAGCCTCAAGCAGGATCTTGAGGATGTCAAGGCCAGGCATGCGGAGGAGTTGCAGAGGCTGACGAGCGAAGTCGAGGGCTCTACTAGCCTCAAGAGCGACCTCGAGGCTGTCCAAGCGAAGCTTGCTGAGGCTGAGGCCAAGCTTGCCGCCGCTCACCAAACGGCTGAACAGGCGAGAAGGGAGTTGGAGGACAGCAACGCCGCCGAGTTTGAGAAGATGATTTCGACACACCAAGAAGCCCAGGAGGCTTTGAGGAAGGAGAACGCGGCAAACGTCAAGGCTCAGCTTGAGGCCCTGAATGCTGAACACGAGAAGGCCATCGAGAGCCTCAAGGCCAGCCATGAGGCTGCTCTGAAGGAGCAGACTGAGGGTTTGGCCAAGCTCGAAGCCGCCAAGCATGACCTTGAGATGGCTCTTGCCTCTCTCAAGATTGAGCACGACAAGGCCCAAGAGGAGTTGGACAATGTCAGCCAGCAGTTGGCGATGGAGAAGATGGACAAGTTCACTGCTCAGGCGGAGTTGGATGCCGTCAAGAACGCCAGGCCAGATACTAGGGAGCTCGACCACCTCAGGCAGGAGCTTGCGGCGATCAAGGCTGCCCATGAGCAGGAACTCCAGGAGCAGAAGCATGCCCTCAAGGCCGCCTTCGAGCAAGATCTCGCTGCCCAGCGGACGTCCTTTGAGAGCGAGCTCACCATTACCAGTGAAACGGCGAAGAAGCACGCTGCTGAGCTGGCCAGTGCCAAGGAGGAGGTCGCCATTCTTCACAAGGAGTTCCAGGCCTTCAAGCTCGAGGCTGAGGCCAAGCAGAAGACTTTCGAGGCTGACTACAAGGACATGCACGACAGCCTGACGCAGCTGGTGGAGGAGGAGCAGAACCAGAAGGCGGCTTACGCCCGCAAGTTGGCCGAGGAGGACAAGATGATTGTCGAGCTCAAGGCGCAGCTCAAGGTGAAGGAGGCTGAGCTCGCAGAGGCCAAGGTAAGTTCCTCTCGGATTCGGGCATGTTACGGATAGGGAGGCAGAATCTAACCAAGTTGCTGCAGAGCCACTTTTCCAACGGATCGGACAACTACGGGATCAATGGCCACAGGGCCGCGGCGGAAGGTGAGCTTGAGCCTGACAACTCATCCTCAGCATTAGCTTCGGTGCGACAAGCCCCTGTTTGATTGTTTTTTTGCTTTGACTCCTTTTGTTGTTGCCCTTTTGCCCTTCCTTCTAACAACCTAATACCCTTACCCCAGACCCAGAGCAGCCAGAAATTCATCTTTCTAGAGCACTTTCGAAACATGTTCTAACATGATTGGCGATGGACACAGATCAATAAGGCCCAGAAGATGGTCAGCCAGCTGGCGGAGTTCACGGAGGACCTGGGCAACCAGAACTCGCAGATGCTCCAGTCGATTACGGATATCAAGGCTTGACTATCCATGATCCGCTTCGCGTCTTGATTGTAGACGCTCCTTGAGTGCTTTTGTTGAGGCGTGTGAGTGGGATCGGGAAAACAAAAACATATGGGTTGGGTTATATACACACACAACGATATCGCGACGGCATGTAATGTGTTTGATGATCATTTCATGCTGATGGAATATGGAAAGAAAAAAAAAGGTCGGGGCCGCCTCCGGGGTTTTCTCCTTTCTTTTTTTTTTTTTTTTTTTCTTCTTCGTTTTGGTAAGAAGGAGGCTGGCCGACACTTATGGGCTCTTTATTATTTGGTTCATTTATCAATGACTCCTAATTCTGTTTATTGCAGAGCCATATGTCGGAAGGGGTGTTTCGTGAGGCACCGTGTCATGGCATTGGCTTTTTAATCAAGCGAGCTTGGGTCTGAGTTCTCTTGTCAAATTTTGTATTTTTCTGCGGATCTGTATGATACATAGCAATGATTATATGTATGGGCAACTGGTGACTGGGAGGAAGATGTTGTACAGTACCAAGGGACGTGACGTGATGTGATGGTGAAGTGCTTCTGTCTCACCGTGTCACCGTTCCCTTCACCGAGGAGGCAGGAAAGAGGCGGCGAGCGGGGAGGGGTGCATTCTGGCAGTTACCAGGTAGGTGTAGAGGGCGTGCTTGTAACGGCACCGACGCAGTGAAACCTCAATGGAGCGTCTGATAAGCTGATAAGAAAAAAAAAAAGTTTCAAAATTTTTCCCCATGTTGTGCTTGTCTCGGCCAATGGGATTTGGTGGCAGGAGGCGAGCCAAGTGCGGGTGTCTTTTGTCCACTGCAGTCCAATCCAGTCCCGTCCTCTCTCCTCACGGCCAACGGTCAAAACTCCAGCCGCAGCCCGTTGTTCCCTCCTTCGGAGCAGTCAGTTCTTCCGCTGCGAGAACTCAAGTTATTCCCATCCGACTTGGGATAGTTTCAATCGAGGAAACACCTTCCTCCAGGTACGTCCACGAGACGAGAAGAGAGACCCGACCGCATATGCCTTCATGTTCATTTCCCAATTGCCTTGCCACTCACTCCATCCATCTTATCTTTTATACATTCAATCGATGCTTTCCTCCACTTCACTCCTTCACACACACCTCACCTTGGGTCATCATGGCATTGGCTGCGCTTCCTTGCTTTGCACCTGGATCGCTTCACATTTTGAAATTTGCATTCTTTCCGAAATACCGCGTCACTCAATCTTTCAATCGTTTCTTGTATCAAAACATCCAAAGTTTGCAACATTGTCATCTGATGTCAATGCACTTTGTTGACCACTCCTTCTGTTGCGATTTCCTTTTTCATTGCACAATCGCTGCCGGTGCTAGGTGGTTGCCCTAGATGGATGTCAACTACTGTGCCACTGCAATCTCATGCCACTGCCGGCCACCATTACCACCACGTCTATTCGCCCATGTCCATGTCGATAGAAAACCCTCAATTGATCTTTCCATTCACTCGTCGTGGACTTTATTTCATTCCTCTTGCAATCATACATGGTTCCCGTTCCAATGCTAATACTGATGGTAAACCAAAGTGACTATTAGCTACAGTCAAGCTGTGTCATTGCTGCTGTCCTTCATTGCGACCAGCGGCAACCACGACACTCCAGATATAGTATAGGTCTACAAGACCATACATGATAGACACAACGGAGTCGCCATGGATGAAAAGAAGCCTGACCCGGGAGCCGACGAGGTCATGACCGGCATCTCCCACCCCTACCCTTCCCCCACCGTCGAGACCACCGATGCTCAGTTCTACCACATCTCGGCCCAGAGGGACGGCGAGTTGGAGCACCAGGCCGTCCAGTCTGACGGAGCAGATCAACCAGACGGCCTTCCCACTGTCACCGACCATCATGAAAACCACAACCTTCATGAACTCCAAGAGCTACAAGACCCTGTCTCGCCAAATCAGCACTCGCGACCGGGACCTTCGCTAAGTAGTGAAGATTTGCAGCTTGCTGCCCAGTTGACCCAAGATCTTGCCCCGGTCATAGCTGCCGCCGCTGCTTCCCATAACCAGGCTCAGGAAGAGCAGTTACAGGTCCCGGTTCAGGTTGGTGTGCCTGTCCAGACCGAGGATGTGGACATGCGGAATGACACCGGCGACCCAGACCTCCAGGAACAACTCCAGGTCCAGTTGCAGAACCACAACCATGAGCTTCAGAGCGTGATGCAGTCCCATGCTGAACAGCAGCAGCAGCAGCAACAGGAACAACAGCAGCAGGACCAAAATAGTCAGCAGCAGGAGCAGCAAGAGCAGCAGCAGCAACAATCACCTCAACAGCAGCAGGCATCTCAATCGTCACAACAGCAGCCTCAGCAACAGCAACAGCAACCCCAGGTCCCAGTACAGCCTCATCCTCACTATGTCCAGCAGCTATCACAGATGCAGCAGACACCTGGACCTACGACGGCCCATCTGTCTACCCACATCCCCATTGACCATCTCGCAGGCACTCACCCTCAGTATGGCGCTGCTGTCCAGGATAGCACTCCTCCCCGGAAGCGTAGCAAGGTGTCCAGGGCTTGCGATGAGTGTCGCCGCAAGAAGATCAAATGCGACGCCCAATCCGAAGTGTCCGACCAGCCCTGCTCAAATTGTCGCCGGTCATCTGCCCCATGTCTCTTCAGCCGCGTTCCCCAGAAACGTGGTCCCAGTAAGGGATACATCAAGGAGCTGGCCGACCGCATCAACACAATCGAGGGTAAACTGACCGGTGCTGCCGTGCCTGATCCCCTGGATAGAAGGAGGACGACGCCTGCCGAGGCATTTGGGTCCCCCATCCCTGGCGATGACGGGAGGAAGAGACCGTACTCGAGCATCTCGAGCGAGACATTTACTCCTCCAGCAGCCCACGAGCGGCTGGCGGGCTGGGGCTCGGAGGCTAATCGGGCGCCGGAGCATCGGCCCATTCGTCCCTATCATCCGAATTATCCCCAGATCCATTCGGTAAATGATCTTGTGCCGAAGCCGCCGGCCATGCCGCAGAGTCCCGATGTGAATGGAGGGCAAGTGCAGGTCTCTGAGGCTGCCGCTGATGTGGCGTCGCAGGATGGGTTGGCTAGCAATGGTTTGTCTCAAGAACCGCTGGAGCAGGCAAGGGAGATCTCTGATGTTGCTTTTGAGTGGTGAGTAATGGTTTGGCAAACGGGAATGAGAGACCGCTAACTGTGTCCCAGCTACCTAAACTCCGTCCACCGGATTTTCCCAATCCTAGCCAGCAGGAAAGACCGCGTTCATTCCATGCTCTCACAATGCCCTCCAGTCCTCCAAGAGGCCTTCTACCACGCTCTCTTCGCCATGCTCAACCCCATGCTCCCCGAGTCAGCCGGCCGCGAGAACTGCAACTCCTTGACCTCTCATGGCCTTCTCAACGAGTGGGATTCCCAGCCTCGCACAGTCTCGTCACCAGTTGCCGACCTTGTGTGCCTACAGACGCTCATCATGCTCATCATCGAAGCGGACTATGGCGGCATCAGCGCTGTTAAAGGCCAGCGGGGTGGTCCCAAGAAGCTTTCCCTGCTGGGCGAGGCGGTTGGCTTGGGTTACATAATGAAGTTGCACCTTGCGCCTCCTCCCGACGTCAATCCGAATATGGACCTAGATCTTGATTCGGAGAAGAATATCGCGCTGAGAGCGTGGTGGACGCTGGTTGCCTTGGACCGCTGGAATGCGGTGGGTACGGCGGCGCCGAGCATGATCAGCTCGGATGTCGTGGTTACGCCGGGACTGAGGAACATTATGGGTGATGTGGTTTACAACTACACCAGTAAGTTTGGCCGGTTAATATGGCAAAACTTTGATCGCTGACAGTGGTCGCAGAAATATCGTTCTTGTTGACACAGTTCATCCCCTTGTTCCTGACCCTATCCGCGCCAACGCCCTCGGACTTTGCAGCCTTGACGACCAAGAAGCCATTGGTTGCATCCCTCCTGAATGCGCTGATGGAAAGCTTCCGCTGGCAGTTTCCCGCTGATCTCATCACCTCCCCGTCTTCTGACCCAACCTTACTACTGGCCTACTGGCACATACGTCTGCTAGCGGACCTGTGCTCAGGAGGAGCCAAGGCAGACTTTGCCCTCCAAGACTGCGCCAACATCGTCGGCATCCTTACCGGTAACCCAGAGCTGTTGACCCCGCTCAATCACCACTTCATCAGTCTGGTATCCCTAGCGCTACTAGAACTCGAAAAGCTGGAGAGGACGAAAGACGATGCGGGCCGCTTGCTGAAAGACCTGTTAGATTTTAGAGTAGCAGCCAGTCCGTGGACCAGCGTGGTGCGGGAAAAGATCATGGGCGTCAGCTTGATCAACAAGGAACGGAGCTCAACAGCCGTCGTTAACGGCAACCATAACAATACTGGTCCTTCGAATCAGTCACAAGTCCAGAGTCATCTTCAGGCCGTTCTCCAAAGCCAAAGTCTAAGCCAGCCACTACAGCAGCTTGCGGACTTGGCTACCGTGGCCGCTGGGGTGGAACAGAATGCGAATGACGCGAATACGGAAAACATGGTTTCTTCGGCTGCTGCTGTGGCTGCTGCGGCTGCGGCGGTTGCTGCGGCTGCTGCGGCGCATCATCAGCAACAGAACGTGGCGCTGTCATCTGTTACTAATTCTGCTTCGCAGGTTATTCCAACTTCTCTTGGTCCGGAAGGGAATGCTGGGCAGGCCCGCGGAGAAGCCAGTGCGGATCGGGACGTTGACATGGATATGGAGGGAGTTGCTACTGATAGCAACGAGGAACGCCATACTAATGGCGCAGAGCACACTGAGCCTGAGCAGCAGCAGCACTTCAAAACGGAGTACAGGTCGGATGAGGAGCACGAGTTCAAGACTGAACCTCAGCCTGAGACCCGACCAGATGACCATCACCAGTCCAGGCAACAACAGCAGCAAGCTGAGCAAGAGCCACAGCATGTATTGTCAGCAAGCTCAGTTGATGAAAACAGCATTGCTGGTCCAGGGCAGACGGACACTGCATCCGCCCAGGAACCAGCACCGGAAGTACCTGCTCGGGAAACAGTCTCTTCAGGCACTACTGACTCTCAAAACGCCAACAAAGACGACATCACCCCCAACGGTACCTCCGCCAGCCAAGCCAGCCTCACCGCATCCCTCGCTCTCTCCCTTGGTTCCGGCTTCGGGTCCCTAGGCCTCAACACCGCCGAGATCTACGAGCACTACCAGCGCCAGCAGCAAGAACTGCAATTACAAAAGCAGGCCCAACAAGCTGTTCAACAAGCCACCCAACAATCAGGATCTCAATCCCAGGTACAACCCCAAGCCGCCCAGCAGAACCCATCACAGGAACAGCAGCAGCAGCAGCAGCAGCAGCAACACCCATACCACCAGCGGTTTGAGCCAAAAGAGGCCACTTCTCAACATCACTCTCAGCAGCCTCAACAACAGGTCCAGCAAATCCAAGCCCAGCTTCAACCCCAACCTCAACCAGCGCAACCGCCCTCCGCTTCTTTACCCCTATCGCAAGCCCAAGCACAAGCTCAACTGCAACAGGTGGTGGCGAAGCAGCAGCAATTGGTCCTCCAAACCCTTCAGCAGCACCAACAGCAGTCCCAGCAGCAGCAACAACAACAACAAAAACTGTTTAGTAGGCCGTACGAGCCGGAGGTGTTTTTGAAGGCTGGGTATTTAACTTGTTTTGGGGATGACCCTGTGGGGTCAGATGGTACCAGCAATGGAAACGGGTCCGGCAGTGGGAATGGGAATGGATCTGGGGCTACGAGCGGGAATGGGAATGTGACGGGGAATGGAAACGGGACTTCGAAGTAGTATTTTGAAAGTCCGACAACGGATTTGACGCCGGAGGTTGTGGATGTGGATGTGGATGTGGATGTGGAAATGGCGCACGATATAAGCTTCGTGCCTACGAATCCCGAAGGTCAGGACATTGCAACTGCAGGTTCTGAGTATGGTCCTGTTACTCCTGGGTGTCATCATTATCAGGGGACTAGGGCAGACGGTGGTGGTGCGAATGGCTTGTGGTCGGACTGGTGTCGGTTGCTTGGGAACGAACAAAATCCTGAATTTGAGCGTCCGTTTAGACACTAACGAGGCGTCTCCTGATTCTTAACACCATTAATCATTGAACATTTGTTTGCCTTGAGCTGTCACGGGGACCTTATTTGGTGCTACACTGTTATACCGTACTAGAGTCGATCAGTAATTCTACGCAGTTTACGAGGGACTTGCACGGCAGGTATAAGAGAAGATTACGAATTTAGTGAATGGGAGAGGAAATCTTCGCGCATGAAGGGGAGAGAACCCGGTGGAAGACACGGTTTGAAATTTTGTAGTCATAGTGACAGTGATGGTGTGAGATAAAGTTACTTGGAGGATACATATAAAGAGCAAGGAGATGGAGACCATGATGATTCACGGAGATGGCCAAAGGTTAATAGCAATGCGTGAGTCGATTTTCCGTGTCTAGGTATTTTCAGTACGAAAGAGAGAGCAAGTGTTTTGTTCTATATATTATCTTACCACCACCTGTGTTATCACACCTTTATATCTTCTTCTTCTTCTTCTTCTCTCTCTCGTTTTCTTATCTGAATATGGTCTGTTTGCCTTAGGCGGGCGCTTCAGCTCCTGACATCTGATGTGGCTCAACTTTCCGTCTCGGCATGTCACCTTCTTTTCTTTTCTCTCGAGCAAACATTCACTTGGGCTTTTTCTCGAATGGACCTTTCTGTCTGTCTGTCTGTCTGTCTGTCTGTCTGTCTGTCTGTCTGTCTGTCTGTACCCGTTCTCCACGACGTACGTACAACTAGAACTACAACGCTGCAGCTGAAGGAAGGCTCAAGTGCTCAAGGCTGAAAGAAGTGACCGACTCGTTCTTGACTTGGAATTATTCGATTCAAATTATGTGTCTAGCTCAATTCCCGTCACACGTTTCATCAACCATCAGCGCTATAGAGTTCTAATTAGACTAGACAGGCCTAGAAACATGGGTTATATGTGGAGTGAAAAAAAAAAAAACAAGAAGTAGAAGAGGACTAGATGGGATTGTTGGAGACTTTCAGTCTTTGTATGAAGTGGAAGTCACAAGTTACCTTACTTACTACATGCTTATCATCAGGTGTTGAAGGTACTCAGCTAGGCATGTAGTTGTGAGTTTCTGTAGCAACTTTTTAAGTCTACAGGCATGGCTTTCCTTTAAACTGCCTTTTTCTTCAGTGGTATTCTTTCAGTTGTGTTTTGTTAAGATCGCAAAGAGAGGGGGGACAATGGAAAGAGGAAAGGTGTGACAAGAGGAGCACTGGAAGGGTGAAGCAGAAGGAAGGAGAAAAAAAGGGCAAAGCTTTGAACGAGACAAAAGCAAAGCAAAGCAAAGGCAGACGAAGCAGCAAAACCAAAGGGAAGTAAGTAGTTGAGAGGGAAAGAGTACCTCTACCTACGTAGGTAGGGTGTTAATGGAAACATGAACAATGAATAATGGCCGGTTTAGATGATCATCTACGACGAGTGTGTGTTGATGTCTCCAAAGAATGAATGGAAATTGTCTGGCTGTAGTTAATCTCTTTGTTCGCAGTCCCTAGGTAGGTAGGTGGCGGAGTTGGATGTCCAAACAGGTTCATGTCTCATTGTCTTTTTCTCTTCATTGCTTCATTGTAGCGTCTATCATTAACGTTGTTCAGTAGTTCGTTTGTGTTGTATAGTCTAGATCATCATACCCATTATACTCCTCCCTTCTGATAACTCAAAAAACCACAGTGACCAAGCGAGACTTGTATTGGATGTCTCGTCAATCCGATGTACTGAGATGGCACATGCAAAAGTACCGTCTGCTCCTTGGTCGTTTCATCTTATCCAGACTATCATCCCATGTGAGGAGCACTGTTCATCCCATCCGATGTACATAGACCAGCGGGCAGAGCAACTGATGGGTTGTGACAGCCCTGAGTAGACCTAAAGAGTGGCTTCTCAGATCTTCGATCAAGTCATGCTGATGAGTTTCTGACAAGTAGACTATAAGCCGATGAAGTCCCAATCATGTTATCTGCTCAACAAAACTCCATGCCACAAGTATCACCGTTGTTGTCTTGGGGCAGATCGTTGATATATTTGCACCTACAACATCCTGACAACACCATGATCAGCCTGGTGGTACATACCTCACTTCCAGATGAGTGTTTCACAGTTCTCTACGTAGCTCATCTGCATGACCTCCATCAGGCTCCTCTCCTAATTCTTGATGCTCATAACTCACTCTCTGGTCACCCTTGAACACTCGCCCAGCTACCCTCTGTCCAAGTGAAAAAAGATGGGCAGACCAAAGGCCAACGAGACAGCGCGACCTTCCTACAAGTCGGCGTGTGTACCTAAACGGCCTCTCCAACTCATTGCAGTGTAGTCCTCACCTCATTCATGTAGAGGTATCCTTGCCTCGTGTACCATACTGTAACCATACCGTCCAAAACCTGTAATCCATCCATCCCCCCCTCAAACACTCACAAAGACAAACGGCGGACCGTCCCTTCCCTTCCCTTCGCTCCCCCCTTCTTCCAGCTTTCATCCATCCATTCATCCATCCATCCGCCATCCGCCACCCGCCAACACCCATGAAAATCAATAGCACCTCTTGGTAAAAGTGATCACAAGGAATGTGGTCGGGCAGTCTACCGATTACCCCTGATTTTCTCCAGTCAGTCAGTCAACCAGGGCTTGCAAAGCCAGCCAAGAAGCCTACCTAGCTAGTGTCAGTAGTGTAGATGGGCGCGAAAGCCAGCCCATACCATAGTATATGGTACTGTGCGTAAAGCAGAAATCAGAGCATGTATCCCAGCCAGTACAGTACATAGTTCAAAAAGTTCAAAGCAGGGCAATGCCAGTAAAATTGAAGCGTCTCGTCTGATAAACATCTTGCTCATCGGCATCAATCCTACTACAGCAATGTGCCCTGTAAATGTCAGTCCCCATAAATGCAAAGACCCATTTATTGCTAGAGATCTTTGTGCCCGAATTATTTTACTATGGTATGGCCTGCTAACTGCTAAATGCAAGGCAGCCGGCTGGCCGCCCATACAAATTTGCAGCTGACAGGGTACTTAACAGGGGGTTCTTGACCCCTGTCATCCCTATCAGACTATGAGATCCCTTTATTAGAGCTGTCACTGGCTGTCACAAGCCCCCCGTGCAGCTACCAGTAAGTGCAAGGACCTAGTAACTGCAAGGAAAATGACCTGCCCGGATTAGTTGCATTTACAGGGCACATTACTGTAATCCTCGCTCCGGCTCGCTCGCGCAGCTCCACACCCACCCCTTCTCGGCTCTTTCCTTTTTTCCCTTTTTCGATTTTGTTTTGTTGTCCACACATGTGCTGTGCTGTGCTGTGCTGGCCTTATGTCCTACCGGCGCCATCTCCGTTGTCCAGAAAGACAGACAGACGGACCCTCTCTCGCTTCCGCCTCTCTACTTCTCCTACTCCTCCTCTTCGGGCAAACCAGCTTCAAAGTTCTCCGTGTGTGTGTGTGTGTATGTATGTGTTCCTGTTGCGCCTCCCCACCCCCCTCTCCCCCTTCCCCTTCCCCCTGTTGGGCTCCCCGCTTTGGCCATCTCCCTCCCCCGCCTCTCCGTGTTTTTCCCCGCCACTTTCATCGTCGTTTCCTTCTGGTCTGGGGCCCCGGGTGCCCGGACTTTTAGATCGATGGCAGTTTATTGGAGAGTACACTATGTACACCAATGAATGAAGCCAATGAAATGAAAAAGAGTGTGTTATCTTGAGTTTCAACAACTGATGCAATGTACGCATCAGGCCATTATCCCCATCACTTTTTCATGCTTGGAGTACAGTAATAAACGAACGATGTCACCACCGGCCGGGTGGGTGCGGTGCTCGGGTTTCCGGGAGGTTGGGTACATAGTCCTTCCTGGTAGTATGTACATAGTACACTGCATACGTATCTCTTCACGTGGTCCTTCACAAAGGGTGTGTAGCTTAGCTTAAAAGCCCAAATGGGGAGGGTGTGGTTAGGGCAGGGCAGGGCAGGGCAGGGCAGGGCAGGGCAGGGCAACGACATAAAGGGAAAGACACCCACAGCGGGGAGAGTGCTCCAGAGGCTAGAGGCTAGAGCCCAAAGTCCAGGGCAAGGGCAAGGGCAAGGGCAGGGCAGGGCAGATAGTGTTGCTTTAGGGTAGGTTTAGGGCAGGGTAGGCTTGAACCCTTAGTTGGGAATATTATCAGATTGGGATTTAAATAGTATAGGAAACGTGTCACATGAAGATCATATTTGGATATTGGAAGTGATTCTAGCAAAGAGTGGCTTGTTTGGTTGGTTGACCGGGAAAAAAATATGGCGTAGAATCAGATGTTCGGCGTTCACAACCCTCTTCTACCCCATCATGTATCGACAATGTTGGGACATCGACGACGAGCTTCTTCGCCCTTTGTCATGGTGCAAGTGGTTCAAGTTGTGTTGTACTGCGTAGTGTACTTACTGTACACCTCTGCCGGCATGTGAGTCGTTAACGTGGTACCGCCAGCCACCCTTGCAATATTCGGGGACCTGGAGGTGTGCAAAGCAGTCATCTTTGGTTCGAAGAAGAAAGTTATCGCCACTTTACAGTTCATGCTAATCTTCAAATGCCGGCAGAGGTTCAGAGGACAGGAACTCAAGCAACTGCCGAACCAAGCCAGCTGTGCTTGTCTATCACGTCAATTCAACTGCCGTCGCCTCTCACTCAGCTCACATATCCAATTGTTTTCCAGAAGTGAAGGTTAGCCAAGAGCTTCTTCTTCTTCAGTTGCTTGGCTTCTTTTCATAGTGTGTATAAAATGAAGGGGGTGGCGAGAAAAGAGAATGAATGATTATGGGTTTGTGGTAGTCCAGTCCAGTCCAGTGCAGTCCAGTCAATCATATGCATGAAGCCCTGGTCCTGGTTACCGTAACCGACGTGGTAGTCCCGGCCATTTTGAGCCTCATAGGTCGCAGCCCAAATTGGACTCTACCAGTACGCTACATACCTTTGCATTGTCCACTTCATCGGCGTTCGTGCTCCCCACGACTAGTGACGGATCGGCTTTGGGGGATTGAAGTGCGATAGCTTGTCAATAGCTCGTCTCACGTTTCTTCACTCCTCATGGCATGTGTTCATCCTTTTGGTTTTTTTTTCTTTTTTTTTTTTTTTGCCTTTTCGGGGTTGAGTCTAGAGTCTAGATCGGGCTCTACTCGTCTGGGCTAGAAAC